CATTTTCCATTTGAGGGGAGGCTCCTGCCTTCCCCAGCAAACACCTGTCTGCTCAATCCAGGACATTGTGTTTACAGCTGCTCGCGCTGCAGATCCGCCGGGATGCGGGCACCAAGCCAGGCTCCCGCTGCTCCCGGCCTCCCATGGGAAGCAGCAGCCCAGTTCCACTCTGATTTCAATCAGCAGGAGCCTTGCAGTGGATTTATTTGAATATGAGCCCCCCAAAGGCATCCTCAGTTCATAAGGAGGATGGATATTAGCAGGCACATTGAATACAGATGAGGAGGAAGTCTCATTAAGTCAAGGACAGTTGACACTTTTCCAGATCATCAGCCAAATGTAGATGTAGGGAGATGCTGGAATATTTCCAGTATCAGCAGGCACCAGGAGTTTAAAATGTGGCTGTTTCCTGCCTCCATTGCTGGTTCACTCTTGCCTGTCACTGAAGTTTTGATGGGCAGCCACAGGACCCATCACCCTGTGCCTGAGGGAAGCAAAGAGCCACAGGAACAAATGTAGCAAACCTCAATTTTGTCCAAAAGCTTTTCACCTTTTTGCAGAGGACAAGGAGGAGGCATTGAATGTAGAATATGAAAGTGTTTGGAGACTCAAAAGTCCTGAATGCGACCGAGTAAATCAATTTTATTTCTACATGCAGTGCTAATGCCCCATCCACCTCAAGCTGAGCACAGCAGAAAGACTTTTGAGGGAATAAAATAGGACTGAATTGCCCCAAAATCTTCTATAAAAGTTTCATTTTCTGTGCTTTTTCAATGGGAAATAGTAAAAGAAATTTCTTTCTGCATGTTTTAATTAGGTTCTAATTAACACCATTTTTCTCTATGGAAAAAAAAAGAAATAACACATCCAACCAAAGCAAATGAATAGCTTAATCTTTTTTTTTCATGGAATTGTTAAGCTTGGAAAAAGACCTCCAAGATCATTGAGCCCAACCTTTGACTGAACACCCCCATATAAACTAAAACATAGTGCTAACAGATAGCTACTTTATTTTGTTTGGAAATACTTAATGGGTAATTTTTAACATTTCATTTTTAATTTCAGGTTTGGAGGCAAAGGGTTGGCTGTGTTTTTTTTGTTGTTGCTGTTTGGGGTTTTTTGGTGGGGGGGCGGGATTTGGTTTGGTTTATTTATTTTTTGGTGGACTTAAAAAAAATATTAATGTTTTAAGACTGTATTGGTCAGACATGCAGACCAGATGGGGAATGATCCCTTAACTGAGCGACATCTCAGCAATCTGCAGGTTTAGGAGCTGTACATACCTTGAGGATGTCTTCATTTGGCCTCTTCTGTTCAGCTCTGCAGACCTTCAGCCCTAGGGCTTGGCAAAGCTACGGGTGCAAGCACAACCTGGTTCATTCCAAGACACTTAAAGCACTCGGCTCACTTAGTGCCCTTTCAACAGCACAATCCCATTAAAAACAGTGACAAAAACAACCACACATTGCTGCACTTTTGTGTTTTAGGACAATCTGAGTTGAGCACGGTGCAGAAATGTTTGTGCTATCAGTGCCCACAGCCATGGAAATCCTGGGGAGCTCCCACCCTGCCTGAGCACAGCTGGCACCTCCAGCCAGTGCTGAACAACATTTTGGCACCAGTTTGGGATGCTCTGCTCCCTGCTGCCTTGGCCAGGGCACACACAAGGAGGCACTTAGCAAGGCTTTTGTGTTAAAAACACCGACTTTGGTACTCAATCATTTATGCTCTGCATAAAACAAGCAATATCACTTCTCATGGAATCAGAGGATGCAACAAAGTAATACGAGCTGACAGCTCCCACGTAACAAGCTTTTTTTTCCTCTAGAGAAAGACCTGGAATAACTTTTTTCCTCCCATTTTTCCTATTATGGAAAAAGTTGTTGGTTTTTTTCCACCCTGGTCCTTACGTAAGCAAAGAATTTCCATAAGAACTGCTCCCAAATGGAATAAAGATCCATTTCTAAGGAGGAAGTAAAGTAACATCAATGCATTTCTTGTGATCCAAAAAATATTGAAGCTGAACCGAAGCTTCCTGGTGTGAAATGGAGCAAATGCTGAGAGTCCAGGGTGGGCTTGGTTCAGAGCACTCAGGGCTTGCACCCCTCTGCCTCTTTGCCCCATGGCAGAAAAAAAAGTGAATCCCAATATTTTTTCCAAAAAATGTGACCCCTGAGTTCCTTTTCTTTTTTCCCAAGGCACAAGAAGACATTGCTCAGAGGATGGCACTGACATGATTATCACACTTTGGGAAAACCACAGCAAAAGGTGATGGAAGCAGACATCACAAATAAAGGCAGAAGACCCTTTTATTTCGCATAGACAAAATGCAAAGAGTGTCTCATTAAATTAATATTAAAAAAAAACCCAAATCAATCTCCTCACTCCACTGACATCACTCATCCTAATTAACAACAAAAAAAAGAACAATCAAGGACCCATTTTCTAATTAAAAAAAAAAAAAAGTGCAAACATGACAAAAGACTTCGTTTTTCCAAATCAATGTTCCTGTTGAATTCACAAAGAGGGTGATTTTCTTTTCTTTTTTTTTTTTTTGTGATTTTTTTTCCCTTTTAAATCTTGTCTGATGGAACTTCCAGTTAAAATGTTTTTGTTAAGTCTCCATGCACTTCGTAGAAAATCAGTAAAAACACAAACGCTTGTGAAGATCAGAAAACTGGACTCTTTTACCCAAAAATTCAGATGTCCAGTCAGATGAAGCTCACACTCAGACAGAAAAAAAGCAAGAGAGTCTTTGCACTGTCTGTCATATTATTTTTTTTTGTCAAATATTTTGGCAATCTTCTTCTTTAATTATAAATATTGGAATTCAATAAAAAAAAGGTAGCTTTCATTGGGCTTTTTTTTTGTTTGTTTGTTTTGTTTTGTTTTTCAGTGTAAATATTTACAGCCACTGTCCAGCCATGCTCTTTTCGTTATACCAGGGTGTAAGACTTTGCGTAGGGATTGTTTCCTTTCAAGTGGCCCCGGGAGTCCAGCAGGGATTCTTGGGAGCTGCTCATTTTTGCTTGAGCCTGTCCTAGCTCAGCTCCTTCTCGCTGAGGTAACGTTGCCACAGCACCAGGTTGCCATGACTGGACATCTCTCGTGGAGGATGTCTCCATGGGGATCGGCTCCAGCACGGTGGGACGCTTCAAGGTTCGGCTTTTCTGTGGCTCCAAGCAGGCTTGCCCCAAACCCAGGTCTCTGCTCGTGCCCTGCACGCCACGGTTCAATAAAAAGTCCATCCTAAGGTAGGGTGGCAAATGCATGAGATCACCTGGGGAGGCAAAAGGGAGAAGTGAGATTTTATTTCGGTCGTGCGTTGAGCGGCGCTCACCCGGCGGGAGCGACTCAAGGTGGTTTGGCCGCCAAAGGGCGAAATTCTTATCTGTGATCAGAATTCATCATTGATAGACTATCTGTCATCCATTTACTGTGCTATGATCTTACAGAATTGTGCAGTAAATTCCTTCTGGGCATATCCACAATATTCGCTCTTAATATTTGCTTTCACAATGGAATGAGGAGTGCGGTGTTCTTTACATGCACTCACAGCATGAAGGAGATAAAATGAAAAGACCAGGAGCTTTTTCTCAAAATCTGAAAAGTTCCTGGTTTTCCTTTGTCAAAAACTTGGAAAAATGCAGAGGCTCAGTAAACTACTGAGTTTACTTTTTATTTTCCATTTTAAATGGAAACCTTCACAATTCCAATTAATGATCCCCAGTGTTGAGTAGAATGACTAAACTATTTTAAATGGATGCAAGAGTGCTAAGGCTGTAGTCTTCAAGAGATTTCTGAATAACACAGAAACATTCTTGTCCTCATATGACAAAATTTACCTGTCAACCATCATCACTGTGTTTAATTCACTAAAAATTTTTTACCACTGTGACCACCAAGATGCTGCTGGTTTGTGGTGACAAAATGCACTGGGATTGGCACCTGCGCTCTTGCATCAACTTTCTGCTTTGTATTGTCACAAAAACCTCTTATTCATTATTTCCCCTGACTCCTGGGCCTGTTAGGCATTCATGATGTTCCTTCAAGGAAATGAGAGGCAATCAGGCACATAATGACATTCCCTTCTAAAAATATTTGATGGTGTAACCTCACCTATGTATGAAAAAAAGCACAGTTACAGGAGAATTCAGAACAGTATTTTCCTTTCTGTACAGATCTCTGCAGGTATGGAGCTGCTTTTTTTTTTATGGTTGATATCAAACCCAGAGCCTCATCTACAGATGGGATGCATCCTGAATGTTTAAAGCAGAAGACTCTTGGCACCACACCACCTGTGTAGCTCTCCATGAGCTATTTACAGCAGAAGAAATTAAGGCTGACCTGTGCCAGTGGCATAAACAACAGACCAGGAAAGCAGTTCTTCATAATAAAACTATGTATAACAATTTTGTTCTTTCTAGCCCAGCTAAAAGCTGTCCAATGACCTAAAATAAAACAGGTCCTCTGCTTTCCCACGTAAGTCAAGACACTGCAAGTCTTAGCTAAAAGACCAACAGCATCTGCTATATCTGTAATTCCAGGTCACAGACAGAGAATTGCTGAGGAGTTGCATTTGGCCAGAATCCTTGTTTATTCCTATAGAAATCCCTCAGGCACAGTCTAACACCATATGTTTTTTTCTGGATGCATCTCCAGCACAGGCTCACAGCACGTGGTGTGTTACCCCCGTGGAGTAAGATGGGAGTATCTCGAGATGAGCCTGACACACACCGTGGAGTTGGAGGGAGAGGGGGAGGTTTGTCATGGTAATCACACTGATTGCCTCTTGAGAAATGGGTGGTGTTAACTTTAATGGGTTTTACTCCTTGGTTTGCCTGATTCCCCTGCAGTGCCTTTCATGCCAAGCACAATTGTGCATGTCAGACCTGTTTCAGCTGAGACAGCAGCAATGCTGCTGCTGCTGGGGTGAAGGACAGCAGGACTGGACATGGTGCTATAGTCTGGCTGAGGTGTCATGGCATAGGTTGGACTTGATGATCTTAGAGGTCTCTTCCAACCTCATTATTCTGTGATTCTGTGTGAGCTGGGAGGAACCAACTCACTGCACTTCTCCCCAGGCATTGAGCCAAGCTGCTCGTGGGCACATCTGTGCTGTCCAACACCTGCCCTGTCCCCCTGGCACCCAGACCCTCTGGTCACATCACTTGTTCTGCTTCTGCATCCCCTTGTAGTGCAAGTCCTTCCAAAATGCAGTTTTGGGTTGGTTGGCCCCAAAGAGCTTTCTCTGTGAGGGAGGAGACAGCCAGGATGGGAAGTTCTTGTGCTCCTACCCCACTCCTCTCCAGAGGGAGAGAAGTAGGAGTGAGAGGGATGCTCCCCACATCTCTCTGCCCTCTGTCCAATGGAGGTTTTGGGGAGCTTGGTTTGGCTGCCTCAGGTGTGGGGATTTCACTGTCAGGGCCAGCAGAATGCCCCTCTGAGATTGCAACAGCAGGTGTGAGAGCTTTAGGACTAATTCTAATGCCAAAGTGATGACTTCTCTCTTGCCAGGAATGTTTAGAGACTGCTGGGGTCAGAAAGGGGGGGGGGGGTTTCTCCCACTCCTATGCTCCATTGGGGTCCCTCAGCCCCAGCAGAAGAGGAAAAATGTTCCGTGTTGAACCCAGTCCTGGAGGACCTCTGCTCTGGAGATAGAAGGGGAGAGCTGGGGGTGTTCAGCCTGGAGAAGAGAGGGATCCAGGGAGACTTCAGAGCCCCTTCCAAGGCCTAAAGGGGCTCCAAGACAGCTGGAGAGGGAATTGGGACAAGGGCATGGGGTGATAGGATGAGGAATAATGGCTTTAAACGAAAAGAGAGTAGGGTTGGATGGGATCTTGGGAATTAGGAATTGTTCCCTGGCAGGGTGGGCAGGCCCTGGCACAGGGTGCCCAGAGCAGCTGTGGCTGCCCCTGGATCCCTGGCAGTGCCCCTGGATCCCTGGCAGTGCCCAAGGCCAGGCTGGAGCAGCCTGGGATAATGGCAGGGGTGGCACTGGATGATCTTTGCCCTCCCTCCCAACCCAAACCCCTCCATGTTTCCACTTCCCACAACCATCGGTCTTTTCCCACAGGTGTCTGTCACCCACCACTGCCTGCGAGGGGCTGCCACTGCCTTGTTAACACCAGCCAGGACATTTTACACCTGCTCCCTCTTTCTGCTGCATTTCCTGCTTGTTTTTTGCTTGGCTTTCCAGGAAGGAGCTGGTGTGGAGCAGCAGCTGGAGCGTGGCTCACTGACAGCTCCCCGTGGGTCCCTCACAGAGCTGCTTCTGTTCCTTGGCACATTTACTGCTTCTTGAGAGCCACGGGTATCAGTGGACTACAAAAAAGATGAGCACTGAACCTTACAGAGATGGAGGTTGGTTTTCAAGCTGCTGTCTAGACATTTCTCAAGTGTATTTAGGAGCTTGGAGCTATGTAAAAATGATCTTTTCCCCCCCTCTTTAAATCTACATAAGAAAGCGTAGTCAATAATCTGTGTAAACAATATGCAGTCATTTTACTGCAATTTTCTAAATGTCTGGGGGCAAAGTTCCAGCAGGATTTCAGTAATGAGAAACCACAGAGTGTAACTTGTTCTCCAGAGCTGGGTACTCAAAGCACAGTCTCTGCCATGGCTTGTGCAGAGCCCTCATTATTTGATGTGATGTACACATTTCCCCATCATAAAAAGCGTCAGTGCTCCTTCTCATCTGCAAGGAGCATCTCTCCCTGCTTATAAAACAGGGCACATTATTAAAATCACTGGCAAAGAAAAATTTTGAGAATGGATCTTTTTTCCTCTGTGCTAGGGTTGAAACATCGCAGGATGAAAAAAAAAAGAAAAAAGTCTTTGATTTAGAAGAACTAATGGGTATCTGACTTGAAAACACAATCTTTGAAATGTAACCACAGGGGTTCACCTTTGCCATTCTTACATCAATTCTGAAGGTATTTTTTGAGCAGAAATAAAGGTTTCTTGCTGTATCTCTGGAGCTGCTTGGGAAGACTTTGGTTCTTATCCTCTGGACACAACAGTTCAGGCATTTTTTTTGGTTCCTTGCTGTTCAGCTGAATGATGTTTTTTTGGGAAAAACATTATGAAGTTTCAGGATGGTTCATTGCCTTTGATGCTCTAATTACCTCTTTTCAGCTATGTTTGTGCCTTATTAGTAATGAAAGCAAACCTTTCAAGTGCATGAGCACTGTAAATGAGCATGTTTAATAATTCATGCATTTTGGCTTAATTAGTACAAAAGACATTCTAAAACTCCAGTTTTCTGATGCATTTTTAAAAATGGGGTTTGGACTGGATGATCTTCAGAGGTCCCTTCCCACCCTGACCTTTCAGTGATTCTGCAATTTTTTAAGAAAGGAGGATTTGCTGTATAAGAACTTTGAGTTTGTACAGAAATAATGAGCACCCAGCCAAATCTGAATGCTGCAATTTAAGCCAGAGCTACCTCAGTCTTTTTTTTTCCTTAATGGCCAGCCCTCTAATGAATTATTAAATATAGTACATTTAAGAAAATGTTAGTTCAAATAAATATTTGTAAACAAATGCTAAAAATCACTTAACTGTGACATTTACAATAAGCAACACATTCTACCAAAAAGGGAATATTTTTTGAGTTACTGCAACACTGAATAAAAATAATTTATCCTTATTTCAGTACAACTAAGCTGATATAAAGCACTTTGCAAAAAAAAAAAAAAAAAACAAAAAAAACCAAAAAAACCACAACAGATATTTTTAGCCATTTTCCAGAGGTCAGCTTCAGGGCTTCAGGTGTGGGAAGGGTTGGGATTAATTTGACAGGCTACATGCAGGGAAAAACATCACTGCTGAATTTTTCTTGGATTTTATTCAAGATAGCTGTCTCATCTGCAGAACTAAACCAAGCTGAGAAGCACTGCTTTCTCCCAAAAGATTTACCTCATTCCTCTTTCAAATGCCAGAGAGCTTGCATGGTGTTTTTCTTTTTGCTTTCATCTACTCCAGAAAAAAAATATTTCTAAGGATTTGTGCTATTTTCAATTCAAGGATCATCGCAGACTGCAAAAAAAGATGCTCTTACCAAGTTTTTACATGAGAGGTCAATGCATTTTCTCATGAATCAGAGCCTCCACTAAAGCAAAAGCAATTTGTCTTCACAACACTCCAACAGAGATACCATCAGTGAGGGTGACAGCCTGAGGGTTTTCAAGTTGTGGTTGCCATGTGGAGGAAATTCTGTGCTCTTTGAGAGATTATCTCAGAAAGTTTTCAGAAGCAGGGCTGGTGACTGTGACAGGG